TGCCTTCAGATTCCAACTGCCCCCGTGCACGTGTTAAACTTGCTTTGAGTCTGGAGCTTGTGTTTTTCCATCTGCAAATGAATTCCCACCTATGAAGCAGTCTGCTCCTCCCCTCCAGAAGATGCTGTAAATAACTCAAGGGGAGCCACAGCTGTGCAGAAAAAGACCTGTACCTGGGGGCACTGGTAGATGGGAAGCTGGACACGAGCCAGCAATGAAAGCCAACTTTATCCTGGGCTGCATCCAAAGGCCAGCAGGGCAAGGAGGAGGATCCTGTCCTTCTACTCTGTGCTGACACCTCACCTGGAGCACTGCATCCAGATGGGGAGACCTCAGTACAAGAGAGATAGGAAGCTGCTGGAGTGCATCCAGAGGAGGGCCACAAAAACAGTCCCAGGGATGGAACACCTCTCCTGCAGGACAGGCTGAGAGCTGGGGCTGTGCAGCATGGAGAAGAGAAGGCTCCAAGGGGATCCAATATCTAAAGGGGAGCCACAGGAGAGAAGGGGACAGACTCTTTAGCAGGGAATGTGGGGACAGAACAAGGGGAAAGGGTTCCAAGCTCAAAGAGGGGAAATTCAGGTTGGATACAAGAAAGAAGTCTTTTGCAGTGAAGGTGATGAGGCACCGAGCAGGTTGTCCAGTGAAGTGGTGGATTCCCCATCCCTGGAGGCTTTCAGGAAGGCTGGATCAGGCCCTGGGCAACCTGATCTGGCTGTGGTGTCCCTGTGCATTGCAGGACTAGATAGTCCTCAGAGTTCCCTTCCAACTCTAAGGATTCTATGATTCTGCTTACCTGGTGACTGATGTATGAAATGTATGAGCAGCTGTGCCACGTGGTCTGGCAGCATCTCTGATAACAGTAGAGAGGAGCCCTCCCTTGGGGAGCCCCAAATGAGCAACACCTGACACTGACTCAACCCAAGACCTGATGGTGCTCTGCAAGCACAGCCCAACATCTCTAGTCCAAATGAGCCTGAGCACTGGCAACAAGGAGCTGCTGATTTTTATTTTTAATCTGGAAGGCTTCAAACAGCCATGTCCTCTTGTGCAGCAAAGACAGCAAGCTGCTATCATGGAGTTACAGAGGCAACAGACATCCAGAGTGCCGAACATCAATAAAGAAATGCTGTGAACCCTCCTCAGAAACAAAACAACCCCCTGGAGAGATCCCTGCCAAGAGGCTGTGGGTGTCCATGCTTTGGAGGGTGAGCAGGCTAGTAATGTTTTAAAGGGTATTTGAAAACACAAAGCAAAATGAAAACAGCTCTAGAAGAAATCACTTCTCCAGGGCAAATCGGACGAAGACATGATGAAACCTATAAAGATGTGGTCACTGATGCTAATTAGAATGGGGTTCTCAGCAGTGATAATTTGTGGCCAGAAACTCATGTTGTTCACTGTAGCAAAACAATCCGAGGCAGGGATTGCTCAGCCTTCAAAGGGTCCTGCTTTCTCCAGCTCCAACAGCCTCACACGTCCTCTGCCTTCATCCTTTGCACACATCTGCTCGACTGAGGATTGAGGCCAGGGAACCAAGCAGAATTACAAGCCAGCACTGCACTGAGTCCAATACGGGGCCTTCAGCCCGGTGTCCTGCTTCCAGCTGAGGATGCCAAGGAAGCACTGACAAATGGAGCACACAGAGATGTCTGCCCTAACACTCCTGACCTCCAGAGTTATGGCTCAGAAAAATCTCTCAGTCAGAGATGGCATCTTTGTATTTAATAGCCCTTCATGTATTTTTTCTCTTGTATGAATCTGCACAGCTCTTTTTCACACCTGGGTAAGCACAACTGAATACAATGAGGAGTTTCAGAGATGTGCAGAGTAAACCACACTTCCTTGTTGCTTGCAGCCTGCCACTGCTTGCTGCCACCAGCTCCAATCTGGTGTCACCCACATGCACACATCAGTGCAAGGAACATTGCTTCATGGGGATGAAGCAAGTATGGCCAAGACAACTGGCCTGAGCCATTAAACATAGTGCTTTTCAGTTCTGGAAAGCAGCCTCCAAACAAGGTGCTGTGTATAGCACCAAATAATCAGAGAAGACAGACAGCTCTGCTCCATCAGGCTGCCACCTCATGAGATCAAACAGCTGAGAGGACCTGAAACAGCTGAAGGAGTCAGTGAGTGGCAGAGGTGACACCAGCAGCAGCTGAGGCCACAACTGAGGTTTTGCCCACGGACCACCACTGTTGAGGTCAGACCACCAGGAATTCTGGTGTGGGTTCAGCAACGTAGGGCATCTATGCAATAGGAACTGAGCCACAGCCATCGCCGTCTGCACCACGCTGAGTGCACGATGCTGAGTGCAGGGCAGACCTCAGCGACTCGTGCAGGTGAGAGTTGCCATGGAGGTGGCACCGTCCTGGGGTCACTTTGTCACCAAGGAGGCCTGGCTGCTCTCTGCTTGTTTAGACTGGTGGCACACGCCAATGGAAACTTCAAAAAGGACAAAAAGCTGAAGAATCAAGCTGAGCCTTTCTTCTCATCTTTTCACTAGAATTTTTCAAATTCTTCCAGTTGGGAAAAAAAAAAAGTTCAGATTTCAGGAACTTTTAACTGTTCAAAAAAACCCAAAGTGAAACAAAACAAAACCAACTTGGAAATGAGCAGCTCAGCTCACGGGAAATCTGACATCATCCAGACCAGAGCATCTTGGATGTGGGAAACCCCAAATTCTTTTGCCTGCAATCATTTTACCAAAGAGACCAACTATCACCAGGCAAAAGAGTCACTCTCATAGGATGTCTAAATCAATTCACATTTCATTTACATAAAAAGCAAAACATACACTGAACTTTCAGCAGGAATCAACAAAACGACCTTGCTTCACAGGTCAGTAGGGAATGCAGCATCCTGCAAGGAAGGAGAACTCAACTGCACATCTTTATTGTCAGTAAGACAAAGATGGGTCTGAATTTGTCCCCTGTATCCCCTAACCACATGATACGTGAGGACTCATGCAGTAAATGGCACTGCAGTCTTCCCAATAATCTAGCTCGAGAGGGAGAAAATGGGGAGTGTGGTAAAGCCACCACAGCATCCAGTATAGAAATGTTTCTAACTCTTATTTTGGTAAAGACTGCTCTGATGAGTTAACGCAGCCTCACACATAGGTGCCTGACCATTCCAAAATGGCTGCAATATGAAACAAACAAAAAACCCACAAAACAGCCAACCATGCAAACAAAACCAACAAACCCACATCCAAGAACATCAGAGATTCCATCCAGGACTGTTACCTTCAAGAAACATTAACAGATTTTCAGAAGCCTGAAAACAAAAAACCAAAACAAACAGCACAGATGCAAAGACCACGTTGCTCTTTTTCTTGAGCTCCTTCAGCTCACTTCTATAAGAGGTGCTCCAGCCCCCCAGGCATCTTCGTGGCCTCCTCTGCACCCACTCCAACAGCTTCACATCCTTTTTGCTGGGAGCCCTGGGCTTGGATGTGGTGCTCCAGATCCATAACTACTCAAGGACAACAGGCATGTTGGAAAATTTCAGTCCCTTGGGCAATACTAAACTTTTATGAATGCACTTTTTAAAAGCAGCTTTCGCTGAAACTTGACTGCTGAGATAAAAACTTAGAAATATCTGGTTGCTAAGATCGACTCTCTGATCACTATATATAATTTTGGTCATAGTCTTCAGTGGAAGACATATTGGTGCTCAAGCTGGTCAGAACTCTCGGGTTGGCACACCAGATTTGATAGAAATCCAGTTGGAGAAACCAAAAAGTACAACATCAGAAGACTCTGTGTTTATGTATCCATGCCTCCCTAACCAAGTGAGTGAACAGAACCAAGTAACCACAAACAAACAGGAGAATGCATCTCCCTGAGCAAGAAACAGGAATATATCAACACGGCAAGATCCTCATCAAAATGACAGTGTTTAATCTGTCCAGTCAAGACGTTGGCTGTGCAGGGAGATGCTTCAGAGCTGGTCTTCAAAACCTTCACTGCCCAAAGAGAGGCTGGCAGGGACTCTGATGGCCTCCACTACAGCCTTTTGCTCCAAGCAGGGCTCACTGCAGTCAGGTCACGTTGTTCCAGTCTTGTTCCAGTCAACTCCCAGGAGTCTCCCAGGATGGAGATCCCCCCCATCACTTCTTTGACATTCTCCTTACGAAGAGTTTTTCCCATTTCCAACTGGAATCTCTCTTGCCATGGCCTGTGCCTACTGGCTCCCAAACCTTTGCTGGGCTCCCCACTCTGCACATCTGCAGTGGAAGATGGTGTTCAGACTCCTCTTCAGCCTTCTTGCCTCCAGAACAAAAAGCTCAGTTCCACCAGTCGTGTCCTTCCAGATTTTCCTCTTTTCCTGCCTGTGTTCATTCCCTGTAGCACTCCAGTCACAGATGTTAACTCACCACATCTCCATAAACCCTGCTACTTCCTAGCGCAGTGACCATACATAAACCTCCAGTGTCCCTCAATCTCTCCACAGACTACAGGTGACAGTGAGCACTGGGACAGCTCACGCTCACAGAGCCCTCATCCCCTGGCCCCAAGAGCCAGGACTCCAAACATACAGCACAGGAGTTCAGTGGAGACACTAAGGAGGCAAGGAGATGCAGAAGAGAGATGCACTAACGAGGGATGTGAAAGGTATTCCAGAAGGCACTGATCTTCCCAACACACCTTTGGTGAGCACTGGTACCATTGCTTGGTCCCCTCCCCATTCTGATTCTCAAAGCTCCCCACTCTTTCACAATCTACCATCTGTCCTGAATCTACTGCAACACGCTGGAACTGCAGCATTTTTTTAATGAAACAACAAGTAAGGCAGATAAGAACGAACAAGGAAATCGTGAGCAGGATATAGCCAAAAGCAGTGGTACATCCTGTAGAGCTTCCTGTCATCTAACCACTGAAACAGCAAAAATAAACCCACTTCTTTTGTCCGGAGCTTTGCAGCCATGAAAATCAACATGTGTAAAAACTGAAACTGCAATCCAAAAACATAGAAAAGAATGCAAAACTTACCAGGCTCTAACTTGATTATTTTTACAGCAGCCAGTTCTCCAGTATGAAGATTTCTAGCCTGAAATAAGAGAGTTAAGACACATTCAATTATGCTGCAATGGCATCTCAGAGAGTTTTACAAGATATGCTGGATGCAATGTGTTACAAATAGTGTACAACACAATCAGCTGCAAGCAACCTGGGTGAGGATTATCTGGGCTTGGTATTAGCACTGCAACAACCTAGTTGGAAATCTGAAGTGTTAGCAGCAGTTCCTTCCAGAGCTTCTAAAACCAAACAGCTTTTCATCAGCAAACAAGGTGCAATCAAAACACCACTGTAAAGGCTGTTCAAACTGAGAAGTGCCCGCAGCCGATGCAGACTGGAGTGATGCAAAAGACTGTGCTGCACTGCGGGCTGCCAGAGCATGCTGAACTGCACCACCCACCTCATGGTGGGAAACCTCTGTGTGCTCTGAAAGTGGAACTGATAGGCAGAAGAGAGAAGCTCTGCAGATGCAGCATGTTTTGTGGGAACTACTGGACTCTCAAACTCCTTCCAGCAGACCCTGGCTGACTGGTGTGGTCCTCACATTCCTCCACTGTTTACTATGAGAGTGGTGAGGTGCTGGAACAGCTGCCCAGAGAGGCTGTGATGCCCCGTCCATCCCTGGAGGTGTTCAAGGCCAGGTTGGATGGGGCCCTGGGCAGCCTGGGCTGCTGTGAAATGTGGAGGTTGGTGGCCCTGCATGGCACAGGGGGGTTGGAGCTTCGTGATCCTTGGGGTCCCTTCCAACCCGGGCCGTTCTGTGCTTCTGTGAATGGAGCTCCAATCCAACCTTCCCACCATACCTGGAGGGAGTCCTCCTGTAAAATTCCCACTGAGAACTCAGCGCTGGAAGACAATGTTACAGGAACCTTAGATCTGGAAAGTTGTATGAGGGGATCTCATTAATGCTGTTAACTCTGGTAAAACGAGCTCTAAATCACCCAGGCACCATCACCAGAGCTAAGCTATATTATTTTTGACACACAACCTAATCCAATTAGGGACTGTGGCATTCCCTTTTTGCTGAGCATCCAGAAGTTAATGCCTTTTGACTCTGTGAGAGAAGTTCAACATCTTCTGAACACATAAAATATGGCAAAAGGTTAAAATTGTAGAAAATCTGAGGAAAACTGGGCCAGGTGAAATTGACTGGTAAGTATTTAGGATAAGGATGCAAAGGGAAGTTGCCCAAGGGCTGAGCTGGAGAAAGCCACTGCAGAACATGACGTTCTTCTCTTGCTTATGGACAAGAAGTCTTCATTTAGTAACAGGTAGAGCAAGGACTTAAGATATGAATCCCTCAACTGTGTCAACGCTTAGTCAAGCTTCCAAATCAAGCTTTCCTACTACTGGGAAAAAAAAAGCCAGCAATAATTGGCCCATTCAAAGTCCCATAGTGTTCAGGTAAGTGCCATCTGTCAGCATGCAGGGTAGGAACACTCTCAAGTGTGACTCAACCGAAAACAAAGCAAACCTGAACAACCATGCAACAGAACCAACTAACGTACGCAAATCACTGAACAGAGCGATGGCTGCCTACTAACCACAAAGGAAACCCCTGCCACTTCTTTAAGTACCTTCTGACCAGAAATGCTCAGCAGACTGCAGCAAAATCATTTGCATTCATCAACATCCTGATGAAGCACATCAGGGACCTTTTTGGTACTCTTACACCAAACTGTTATAAAACACAGAGGTGCCTATAAGAATGTGAGGCTCCCACTGAAGTCAGGAAACCTCAACTATCCATCCTTCTATCCAAAACCAGCCAAGCTGTCCAGATAAAGGAGACCGAACCGCACTGTGTACAGAAGATCACCTTCATCTCTGAAACACACAGAAGACTGTATTCTTTCCTGATATTCCCATCACTGTTCCTGTTATGCCAAAGCCTGAAAGAATAGCTGCAGGCTGCCAAAGGTACACACACTGCTCGGCTGGGGTGCAAAGGTCCAGGCCAGAGCTCAGTGCATTGCTGGCTCTCAGCTCCCACACTGCACAGGCCACACAGCTTCACCCAAGAACACCCTGCTGCTATCCTGTATTACCATCACGTTTTTGGCAAAGCCCCAACGTGGACCGTTTTGGTTTTTAGCCATCAACCTTTGCCTGATGGCATGGAAAGCTTTTCACCAGGTTGGTGTTTACGGACTGAACATAATGAGCTGTCTGTATCAGTCACCCTAAAACAGGTTTCCTGGTCCTATAATTTCATCTTCCAGCTCAATACTTTTTTGAATTGACACCAGGACCACACACACTATTTAAACCATATCATGCCAGCACCAAAGGCAAAAATACTAAGCATTCCCTCATGCTCAGCATCACAGATTCCCAGCATGGCTGTGATTGGAGGTTCTGCTGGAACCCTCTGGTCCCTCTCTGTTCCAGCAGGGACACCCAGAGCTGGTGCCCAGAGCACCTGGGGCTATTGGAGGTCCCCAAGGAGGAGACCCCACAGCCTCTGCATCAGTGCTCCGTCACAGCCCAGCACAGAAACGCTTCCGATGGTCAGAGGAAGCCTCCCGTGCTCCAGTTTGTGCCCATCGCCCCTTGTCCTGGCTGCACCCTCTCTGCACCCCCGTTCAGGTGGGGACCCCCTCCTCAGCTCCAGGCTGAGCAGCCCCAGCTCTCGGCCCCCCTCACAGCAGAGCTGTTTCAGGCCCTGCAGCACCTCGCTGGCCTTACGCTGGGCTCTCTCCACTATGCCTGGGCCTCTCCTCTACTGAGGGCCCAGCACCCCACGTGCAGCCTCACCAGCGCTGAGCAGGGGCGAGGACCCCCTCCCTTGACCTGCCCACAATACTTTGCCTAAGGCAGCCCAGGACACCAACAGCCCTCTTAGCAGCAAGGGCCCAGCAGCTTGTTGGGCTGCTCACAGATACTAGAACTGCATCAGATCTTCTGTCTGGAGGGTCAGTTGCAGGCATTCAGCAAGCTTCCCAGGAGAGCCACCCACCCCTAAGTGCAACTATCAGCTTTTATCCCTCCGACAACAGCACCCACTTTACATACGTACCTACACCTCTGTCTGTTGCCACCTCTTGCTTTTTCAGCCTTTCTACTCTTTACCCTTCTGTCTGCTGAAAACTTCATCAATAATGAATGGCGGTTATCTCACATATCATGAAAAACAAAAGATGGTGAAGGCTAAAAACTGCTTCCCCGTGGTACACAGTTTGCATTGCTGGGCTATGTTAAAAAGGACGGTGCAGTACTGAGGGAGTCAGCCTTTGTGAGCCAATCCTGACGTTTTACCAAACATGAAATCTGACAGAACTCACCCATTTCTTACAATAGTTCTTACAGCCAGCTCTGACGCTGCAGGCTAAGAGACCACAGCCTGGCCGTGGCCCAGCTCCCTCCTGTGCTGGAGCCCACATCCCCGTCAGCTCCCTGCCGCGCTTCCCACGCCACAGAAGAACAGCCCGACTTCCCCGACAGACTGCAGAAGGAAGCCAGAGCCTCTGCTGCCTGCTAGCACTGATCCTGTTCTATTTTGTGAGACTCAAAACTAAAAATTATGGTCTACATTGCCTAGAGTGAAAATTAAAACTATGGGATTTTGGCAGAATGATTGCAAAGTTACAGAAGGAAGTTTGACTGACACAAGAATGGGACAAGAATGAGGGCATGTTTGAATGGGGTGAGCCACAGAATTAACCTCTGAATCACAGAATTGTTAAAGTGGGCCTTATTTAGCTCTACATCATATATAGCATGTATGTAGTGAAAGAAGGGCTGGGTGGTTATTTGGTCACCCCCTTTCTTGGCTATGGGAGGAGTGACAGCACCCCAATGAACACAGCTCTTCCAGAATATTTTACCAGCTACATGCTAATCCTACAGAACAAGAGAGCCTGTGTTCAAGATAAAATACAAGGACTGCTTTTTTTTTCTCCTCTCCCCCCCCCCCGATGTCCCACTACAGGACAAACCCAGGCACAGCACAAGCTGTGTGTCCCAAAGGCAAACTCAAAGTGAAGAGATGCAGCACCAGGAGGGCTGGGGGTTTGGGCAGACAAAAGCAGAACTGCTTTATGTGCACATTTGAAGTTCAGCTTTGCGTGCTCAGCCTCCTTTATGGAATCACAGAATTGCTCACGTTGGAAAAGACCTTAAAGATCATCAAGTCCAACCACTGCTCAAGTACAACCATACTACTGCCAGGGAGGTGGTGGAGTCTCCTGCTCTGGAGATGTTCAAGACCTGCCTGGATGCCGACCTGTGTGACCTGCTGTAGGGAACCTGCTTTGGCAGAGGGTTGGACTCGATGATCTCTGGAGGTCCCTTCCAACCCCTACAGTTCTGTGATTCTGTGATACTCTACCACTATCCTTGTCCAGCTGCTTTCTTCTTCAACACTGAGGAAAAGAAGGGCAAGATTTGGACGCCAATACCACAACTTCCAAATCACTGTCTTCAATTTCCACAGTGAAATATCCCCCTCATGCCTATGCCTGTGTCTGATCTCCAGGCTTGGATCAACCCTCCAGTTCACCAGCAGATTCATTTGTTCAACTGAGGCTTCGTTTAATCTAATCAGAACTGCAGCTCCTGTGGCAACCCTCCCACACAGCCCCATGTTATTCATTCCTTGCCAAGCTCCACTCATCAGTGACCACGATGCTTCGCTGTCTCATCTGCTGCTTGCTTTTTCTCCACCTCCCAAAGGTCCCCTGACTTCCAGCCACTGAAATGGAGGTTCAGTCATTTGCCTTCTAGTTTCTGACTTCTGATTCTTCGCAACTCTTAACTTGCTCTGTCCTGTTCTGAAATTCCCAGCACGGATAATGGGAACAGCCTCCTTTCTAAAACATGCAACTCCAGAGCTCCTCACAAAACGTTTAAAAGCAAAACGAAGTTAATTTGCTGTGCCAGTCTAGAATTGCTATCCTTCCCAAGAGAAGGACACTGAAACCTTTTACAGCATCACGCCTTAGCAAAGCACATTTGTAGAAGGAACCAAACTCCCTGAAAGCTCTGAGAAAACAACCCTTGAACGTCTGCAGCTAAAGGTTAACATGGGCA